TTTCGCTAAGTCCAGCTCAAGGAAGAGGAGATAATGGTCAAGAGAAGGTGGGCAAATGGGAGATGAACAGGCCCCGACCACCCCCTCCTCTATCGACTACCGGTAAGCCCACAGGAAGCCAAGAGGCTAACACCAGCCGTTGCTCGTGAAAGGAGAGAGAAGGGATTGTGCTATTACTATGATGAGAAATATACACCGCAACACCGGTGCAAGAATCCAAAGTTATTCTGGATGGACGGTTTGGTTGAGGAAGATGACGTCGATCCCGACCAGGAAGGAGAAGAGCAGCTTGAAGAGACCCACCCAGAGCAGCCGGCCGAGATATCCCTACATGCTATTATCAGCTCTGATTCTCCTTAGATCATGAGAATATGAGCCACCCTACAACAACACCCTCTGGTCATACTGATCGATAGTGGATCTACCCACAACTTCATTGATCCAATGATGTTACAGAAGGTGGGAATATCCACTACATCAAAGACTCGGTTTGAAGTCATGGTGGCGAATGGGGATCGACTCAAAGGATTAGGTAAATGCTAGAGCTTCCAGTTGAGAGTACAAGGTACTATTCTCACTACAAATTTCTATTTGTTACCCTTGCAAGGGTATGATGTTGTGTTAGGAGCTCAATGGCTCCGCACAATAGGGCCTATGACTTGGGATTTCTCCCGAATGACCCTGCAATTCTCAGATGAAGTTGGGTCACATTTACTCTGGGCCATGAGAACAGAGGACTGGAAGCCCATTAGGCCACAAAGAGCATCACAAGTCCTCAGGAAAGGGGGACATATTTACATTCTGTGTATGTTATCCTTGTTAGAAGAAACTCATCCTGCAGTTACAGAACCCTCAATGAGATCCAGGGCCTCACAACCTTAGTCCGTTTCACTCGGGGGCACCCACCCGGGCACCTTGCGCTTCACTCCTCGGAAAAACATTTTCAGTCTGGTTTTCGTGTCCCTAAGTTACAGGAAAGATAAAAATACAATTCTTTCTCACAAATTTTATAATCAACCTTCCTATAGGGAGGGCAGCAAAGAACAGACATTATTAACCGATTACTACTAGCCGCTCATGATCCTGGCATAGATGGTTCCCACTACATGAGTGCCATCTAGGACGGCATCGTAAATTGATGACTGAAAATGTGCGTGCAACTCCTTGTTTGATCCTCCCTCTGGGCTTCCACCTCCATGACCCTATAATCACTCTATTTTCTTAGCTGCCGTCTCCTAACCCATAAGTCTAAGGTCGTACAGATACCCCTTCTACCAAAAAAATGAGATAGAAGGAATAGTTAGAGAAATGTTGCAATAAGGGCTAATTAGACCCAGCTCCAGCCTCTTCTCTTCCCCTGTGTTGGTGGTAAAGAAAAAGGATGGGGGATGGTGGATGTGTATTGATTATCAGGGTCTAAATTAGGCCACCATCAAAAAACAAATGCCACATTCTGATTATTGATGAATTATTAGATGAGTTGGCAGGATCCATAGTCTTCTCCAAGATGGACCTCCATTCTGGCTACCACAAAATTAGAGTAAGGGAGGAAGACATAGCTAAGACAACCTTTCAAAGTCATGATGGCATCTATGGATTTGTGGTGATGCCATTTGGGCTCACTAACGCCCCATCCACCTTCTAACCCCTAATGAATGAGCTCTTCAGGCCTTACTTACAAAAGTTTGCGTCAGTCTTCTTTGATGATATACTCATCTTCAACAGAAACTTGGAAGAGCATCATAACCATCCTACAGGTCATCTGAGACAACCAGCTACATGTCAAGCGCAGCAAGTGTTTTTTTTTTTTTGTTGTCATGGAAATTAGCTATCTAGGGCATATAGTGTCCTCTAAGGGAGTTAGAGTCGATCCTTCTAAAATCAAGGGAGTGCTTCAATGGCCAAGACCCAAGACAGTTAAGGCATTAAGGGGCTTCCATGGATTGACTAGTTACTATAGCAAGTTCATTAAAGATTATGGTCGGATTGCTGGTACTCTAACCTCCTTACTCAAAAAGGGGGCATGGGGATAGAGTTCAAGAGGCAGAAGAGGCATTCCTTAGACTCAAGGAAGCACTGGTGAATACCCCTATTCTCACCCTACCAGATTTTGAGAAGATCTTTACTATAGAATGTGATGCTTGCGACTCTGGGATAGGGGTTGTGCTTTCACAGGGCTATCAGCCCATTGCATTCCTCATCAAAGCCATAAAGGGGCAGAACCAAGCCCTCTCCACGTATGAAAAGGAATTGTTAGCTTTGGTCCTAGCTGTTAGAAAATGGAAACCGTACTTGCTTGGTCGAAGATTCAAGGTCTAAACCGACCATCAAAGTTTGAGATACCTCCTGCAGCAGAAGATTTCAACTCCAACACAATAGAGGATGATAGCCAAATTGATGGGTTACGACTATGAGATATCCTACCGTAAGGGACGGGAAAACGTGGTAGCAGATGCTCTCTCTCGACTGGAGGAAGGGGAGTTCATGGTCATCTTAGCACCTGCACCTTCCTGGACAGAAGGCAGATGTTTGCTTTTAAGGATGGATTGCGTTAGAGGAAGGGGAGAATTGTTTTGGGTACCACCTCTTCATTTCGGCGAAGGTTTTTTTGAAGAATTACTTCAGCCCAACAACTGGGCATTCTGGATATCACAACACCCTTTGTCACCTCCAAACGGTCTACTACTGGAGAGGGTATTGCAAGGAGATCCAAAATTGGGTACGAGAATGCGACATATATCAGTAGAACAAATATGAAAATGTGTGGCTTCCCGACCTCCTACAACCGCTACCCATACCTAATACTTGTGGTGATCGATCGTCTCTCAAAACATGGGCACTTCCTAGCCCTGTCACACCCCTTCACTGCTCAAGAAGTAGCCTAAATTTTTATTGATAATATATTTAATCTCTACGGGCTTCCTTCCAACATCGTCAGCAATAGAGACGTCGTATTCACCAGTCAATTCTAGAAAGATCTCTTCAAAATTCAAGGGACCTCACTAGATATGTTCTCTTCCTACCACCCACAAATTGACGGTCAGACTGAAGTCCTGAACCAGATTCTGGAAGGCTACCTCCGTTGTTTCGTTAGCACCAGCCCACACTCTTGGTCCTGATGGCTTCCCGTTGCCGAGTGGTGGTACAATATATCCTACCTGTCGGCCATCAAGATGGCCCTAATCTAGGCCGTCTATAGAATTCCATCGCCAACCTTGCTTCACTATGTACCTAGGACCGCCCGAGCCAAGGCTGTAGTGGCTGACCTCGAAGAAAGAGACCATGCTTTATTCCTCAAACAACATCTGGCAGAGGCTCAGAACAGGATGAAACGCCAAGCAGGCCATCACGATTTGAGCGGTCCTTTGAGATAGGGAACCTTGTGTATCTACGGAAGGAGGTTCGCACCACTTTACTTTTCACGATGCCGAGAATAACGACGCTCCTTTGTTGTTGGGTTTTGAGCAGCTACCCCTCCCCTTAGTTCCTCACTATAATTCACTTTCAACAGTTCCTAAAGTTTTTTTCTTAAAATGTGGTAACTTTCTCTCTTCAATCTTTTCCAGAATATCAAAGCGAACTTTGCATCCCTCAAATTCATGTCCAAGTAAGCTACGTAAAGAACAGATTCGGGGCCACTTCTACCATCAGATATTCAATAGGTAGATTGGAAAGTTGCACCCATATTCCCACTGTATCCATAAAGATAATACGATGGAGCTTTATTGGCTTCACATTCGCCATTAAAATGAAATCCCAATTTAAACTCCAGAGGCTTGCATCAAAAACTCTTATCTCGATCAAACTTTGAATAGAACTTCACCATAAAGGAGTTACCTCCATAGTCAACTATATCAGATCCACTTCTTAACTGCCAGGCTTTGCATAGGTAGTCTTTGAGTCCTATTAAGCGAAACAATTTATCGGTGAGCATCTTGATTATAATTAGACCTGTTCATGGGCCGGGTAGCTTGACGGGCCAGCTCGGCCCAGCCTGATATCTTTTGGGCTTGGACAAAATTTCAAGCCCATGGGCTCGGGCTCGGGTTTGGGCTTTAATTACCAGCCCGACTATTTTTTGGGCCGGGCTCGAGCTTTCTCAAATAAGTCCAGCCTGATACTATTACATATAATAGAAATATATATTATTTATATATAATAACTATATATAATATGTTTTATTTATAAAGTTATTATCAATATTAATTTACCATTCAGGAAATATGAATTAATTTATTAGATTATTATCAAATTAATATAATATTAGTTTATTAAATTACACAAAAAATAGGACATTTTATGTGCAGATTGGACTTCGAGCCTTATACAAGAGCTGGGCTCAGGCTCAAGGTCTAGGCCCGAAGGTCGGGCTGGGCTCAAGCTTGGACTTGGACATTTTCTGTTGATAAAGAGGCAAAGCTCATCTCGGCCCATGAACAGGTCTAATTATCATGCACTTGTCATACTCCTCCCCACTCCTTGCATCCTCTTTTTTGGCCACTAGTTTCATTGAAGATTTGTTATGGAGCATAGTCACAAAGCTTTGGTAGATAATCCTCTGGGCAGGGCTAGCCCAACCCAACCAACCTGGAAGAACCAGAGTAGGCTGCCCTGCTTTTTTTTATTATTATTATTATTTTTTTATTTTTTTTATTTTTTTTTTGGGCGGGGGGGTGGATTGAGGCACAAAAGCACTGGTGTCTTGTGTGATGAATGCAGGGGTTGATTCCAGGTCTATATGAACAATTACCTATCACTTATCAAAAGATGAGCTACCTAAGACCTTACCATCTCTTGTTAGCCGACACCTTTAGTCAAGACCTGGTCTATTGATTGAGATTTAAAAAATACACCCTTAAGCCTGGTTTCCCTACTTCTGCCTTCCTTTCCCTACCTTTTCTTTCAAACCAAACACAGCCTAATATTTTCCCTAAACCCACGTACTGGTTCAGATCACCAATTTGTTTCATTAGATGTAAATAGATTGCAGGAAGCAAACATGCAACAGAATATTTCAGGATTTATATAAAATGTCAATCTTGGTAAACATTTCCACAAGGTGCGAAAGACTTGCTAAAAGAAATACACACTAGGCCATGAACCAAAAGAAAATACACACTAGGAATCTGCAGAAAAAGTGGAGGGGGTGGGGGTGGGGGTAGAAGCCTAGAAGGACGATTTGATTAGGAATCTCTACCGTCAGTTTGCCTCTTGTTATTTGACAAGTCTATGACCACCCAAATACATAGTCAAGAACATAAACCAGAACCAAAGAAAATGGGTAGAGCACAAACGCCACCGAACAGGTCCATAATGGGAAGGTCGTGCGGAAGCTAGCAAAGAGACCCATTACTATACAAACTATAAGAATGACGAGCACTTCAGCAGAGAAGTCCCATGTCAAGTGCCTCACATAAACAAGTGCTAGGAAGACCGACAGACAAAGGATGTTGTTCATGGTTGCTGCCCCATAGATCTGCAGAAAATAACACAGATTATAATCTTTTACATAATAGTGGGTCTTTCAGTTTTGCAGTTCCTAAAATCATTATTACATATACAGGATGTTGACAATAAACAGTTCTTGTCGTTTCATATGTTCAATTAAAAACTCGGGATTATTTTTGTTTTGCACAGTTCTGTGAAATAGGAGAAATTTATTCCATTGAGAATGTATGAATATCATAAATTATGTCTGCAAAAACATTCTAAGCTGCTGCTGCTGCTCATGATGCTGATGATAATGATAGAAGACTGGTGTAGATATCCATTTCATTTATATAACCAGTCCTAGTAGTACTAGATCTGGAATCCAATGCTATTCCCACATGTCCTGGAACAAGCTCCAGATTGTGAAGAAAAGCAGAAGGTGCATTTTTCAAGAATCCAGCCAAAAGAGAGGGGTTAATGTGTATGCACTGAATGCATCCAACTGACCATAATATAATTCTTTTTTTTTTTGACAAGAAGTATCAATTCATTCAATATAAAAGTACAACCAGAGGCTGTACAAAGGAGATAGTTGTTACACATTTCATATATACATGCTATATTTGTTCAAAGCTATTTTAAAGGAGGAAACATACCTCAGAAAATGTTAAAGAAGCAGTTTTCTTCTTCTTTCGGCTGGCAAAAATAAGTGCTGACACTGCCTCACTAGAGTTGGTAGCCAAAGGCAATGCAATAAATGAGATGAAGAAGGAAGGAATACTTGTAGCACTGGAGAAATTTTGAACAGCATCTACAAGGGGATCTGCAAATGCAGCTGCTATAGCAGTTCCCAGAAGCAACATCAACACTGCTTTAATAGAAGTCCACTTGGGATTTTCAACACCCTCTATGACATCATCACTGGCATCTCCAAGCAGAATATGTTCTTGCCTGGCTTGCTGTATGCATTTCAGAAATGTTAGAACACTTAAGCTAAGATTAGAGAAACACCTACAATAATATTTAAAAAGAAAATAAATAGGAAAGAAAAATTACCTTATGAAAACCATCTATATAACGTAAAGTATGAGAACCAGAAAAAGGAACATAATCTGTTGAACGCTTGGCTTCATACAACCATTTTTTTATTCCTTCGACGAACTCTTCCTCGTTAAGCAAATTATCATTAGATTGATCAAAATCTTTCATTAATTTTTCAGCAGCATCATCCCGATTTAAATCTATCTCTTCAAGTTCAATTCCAATAATCAGTGCTCTTAACTCAGGAATTGAAAGGTGTCCATCCTTATCTGCATCAATTTGCTTAAATAACCTGTGATTGTATTGACAAGACAGTGATCAAGTAGGCACTAGAGGATATAACAATCCCTACTTATTGAGTGCATAAAAAAGGGAATATGAATTTTGAGAGGTTTAACAAACTAACCTTTTTATAATATCTTCATTAGGTTCACCATCATCTTTGAGGAGCTTCCCTAATGAATGCTTTTTCAGATATTTCAAAATTCCAGAGATTACATGCTTATGCTTTGCATATTCAAGTCTTCTCTGCTGAATCCAAGGTTGAAAGACCTAAGCAAGATTATATGAAAGATAACTCAGTTAAAATAGGAAAGAGTTATAGTTAATATCATAATTCCAACCTGCAAGATGATAAGAGGATTGGAGTCCATCTAATAAACACTAAAGATACTTGAATGGCAGGGACATAAAATAATTATTCAATAAATTTTAAAAAGTACAAGTAAAGCAACTTCACTAAATTATGAAATAAAGGACAAATCAGTGTTAGTAGGCACTATTGATTTTCATGTCAGCAGTTACCATATCAGAATCATAGTAAATAAATGCATTATTATTATTATACAACATGCATATTTTGGTAATTATGGATTTATTTACAGAAACCTTGTGCCACGACAGCATTGATGAGTAAGAAGAAATTAGCTATCATATTATCAAATATATTGCCTAGTAAATTTAAAAGCCTCCAGGTGAGAAGATGATTCCTGTAACTTGGTATGCCATGCTATTATCAAACAAAATTTATTAAAACTAATGTGGAAACCATTTGATACTGGTGCAATGTCACCATTTATCTCTTTTATTGCTTTCAAAACTTCAATAAATTCATGCTTCAATTCTTCTACCTGCCAGTCTGCAAAATGTATGCTGTTAGTGTCGAGTATGTAGGGGTAATTCTGTCTTTGTGCTTGTGTTTAGGTGCTGATGTGTAAGTTTATGTTAGATTTAATGTCCCTAACTTAAGTAGGGGCATATGTGACTTTTTCACATTATTTTAGTAATATAAAATACATCTGGCCACATGAGAGAGTGAACTTTTTCTCTCATTCGAACCAGAATCTTTTCTCCTTTTTCTTCTCTTCTGCTTTTCTCCTTTCTCTCTTCTCTCTCCCTTCCTTAACTGTTATCAGTCTAACAGGCAGACCGAACACTAACATGGTATCAGAGCTGAACTGAGCAAATCGGATCTGCCCAGAATTCTGTTATCTGCACACCCAGCCTAGGGTTTTCTCTTATTTTCTTTGCCATCAGCTATAGATAAGGGACAGGGCTGAAAAGGAGTGATAGCCCTCTTCCCTTGGAGGTTTCTATGCCTCCAGTTGTGGTGTTTGTGGTTGGTTGCTGCAGTTTCTAAGAAGCCCTCCCCCTCACTTCTGATGTCAAAATTCAGAGACAACAAAGAGAACAACTTGATGTGACTCGGTTTTTGGTGGGGCTGAAATCTGAATATGAACCAGTGCGGGCTCAGATACTAGGAGGGTCAGCTCTCCCTTCCTTAGAAGAGGTGTTTGCTCGACTCAGGAGGATTTCCATTGGATCTACCAAGAACCCTAATATTTCCGATAGATCAGCTGTTAGCAGTATCCAGAGGCCGTGGTGTTAGAGGAGGAGCTCGGGGAGCTCAGTCTGACCGTAGTGGTAGTAGTGGACCGGCATATGGTTGGAGTAGTGGTAGTGGACCTACATATAACCGTGGTGGTGGTCGTACTGAAGGTCGAGATTCAGGGGGAGCCTGTGGCAGAGGACGTAGTTCGGGTCCAAGGAGGTGTACACATTGTGGTATGGATTGACATACCATCAATTATTGCTATGACTTGCATGGTCCACCTTCAACTTGGGCCAATCATGTCGTGACCTGTGACAGTAGCTTCAGACAGGAGAGCCATCAAGTACCTCCTACATCCACAGATGTTGCTGGGATGGAGATGATGAGTATTCCCCGTGATGAGTATGAGAGGTTAGTACAGAACACATCTCAGCAGAACACGACCACTCTCGCACACTCAGGTATGGCTTGTCTAGCATCCACACCCCATCCCTGGATTATTGATTCTGGAGCCTCCGATCACATGACTGGAACTGCAGGTGTGCTTTCTTCCCTCTCTCATTGCCCAACATCACAATCTGCTACCCTTGCTAATGGTTCCACATCCTCCATTTGTGGTGTTGGTAATGTTGACCTGGACCCTGTATCCCTATCCTCAATTTTGTATGTCCCTAAATTTCCTTTTAATCTTATGTCTGTTGGTAAGTTGACCAAGTCTCTTAATTGCTCCATTACCTTTTACCCCTCTTCGTGTGTTTTACAAGATCTCAAGACGGGGATGAAGATTGGTGGAGGGCATGAAGCTGGTGGATTGTATTATCTTGATGGTTGTGGAAGTACATCAACAACTCTCCAGTCGTCCCTCTCTCCTCTCTAGTGGCACTGTCAATTTGGTCATCCTTCACTGAAAGTTTTGAAATCTTTGGTTCCTTCATTGAGTCATCTTTCTGTTTTGGATTGTGAGTCGTGCCAGTTGGGGAAACATCATCGTGTTCCCTTTAGTCCTAGAGTTGATAATCGTGTATTGAGTCATTTTTCTTTGGTTCATTTAGATGTTTGGGATCCTTATAAAGTGATGTCATACAATGGATATAAATATGTTGTCATTTTTGTTGATGATTATTCAAGGATGACGTGGCTCTATTTAATGAAAGAAAGAAGTGAATTGTTTACCATTTTCCAAAAGTTTTATGATGAGATTCGCAACCAATTTGGTGTTCACATTAAAATTTTTTGTTCCGATAATGGTCGTGAATATCTCTCTTCATCATTTCAAGACTACCTTGACCAACATGGCACTATCCATCAGACTTCATGTACCTACACCCCATAACAAAACGGGGTGGCTGAGAGAAAGAATCGTCACCTCTTGGAAACAGCTCGGTCCCTCATGCATCACATGAATGTTCCCAAATCCTTTTGGAGTGATGCAGTGCTTACTTCCTGCTTCTTGGTTAACTGGATGCCCACGTCTATCCTTGATTGTCATTCCCCATTCACCACATTGTTTCCTACCTTGTCTCTGTTTCCTCTCTCTCCTCGAGTTTTTGGATGTGTTTGTTTTGTTCATAATCTGGGGCCAGGAATGGACAAGTTAGATGCACGGTCTATTAAGTGCATCTTTCTTGGCTATTCCCGGACTTAGAAAGGGTATAAGTGTTATCACTCTAGCTCTCGACGTTCCTTTGTATGTGTTGACGTTACTTTCATTGAGTCTACTCCATTCTTCTTGGGGTCCGGTGATGTTTCTTCCTCCTCATCACCTCCTCCCCTTCCTCTTCCAGTTCTGGACTCTGTTTCCCTTGTTCCTGTAGTGACCAAGTCTTTACCTCCGGTGCCACCACCTGTTGAGCGACCACCGATCCATCACGTGTATACACATGTATACACATCGCCCACATGTGCCGGCACCTCCTCCAGCTTCATCATTGTTGACAGATCCGGCAGCTGTTACCACACCAGCCCCGACCCCAGTATCTGATCTTGATCTTCCCATTGCCTTGCGGAAAGGTAAGCACAGTTGTACCCTTCATCCTATTTCTAATTATGTTTCATTGACTCACCTTTCCACTTCCCATCGCCAATTTATCTCTTTGTTATCCTCTGTTGTTATACCTAAGGATGTCTAGGAAGCCCTTGCCTCTCCAAGATGGTGTTGTGCGATGGAAGAAGAACTTTTAGCTCTGGCTCATAATCATACATGGGAACTCACCACTCTTCCTCCTGGTAAGCAGGTTGTTGGCTATAAGTGGGTTTATACGGTTAAGTACTTACCTGATGGTAGTGTAGAGCGGCTGAAAGCTAAATTGGTTGCCAAAGGGTATTCCCAAACCTATGGTATTGATTACACAGAGACTTTCTCCCTGATTGCTAAGATTGGTTTAGTCCGTGTTGTGATTTCTCTTGCTGTGATGTATGATTGGCCCCTCTATCAGCTTGATATCAAGAATGCCTTCTTGCATGGTGATCTGCTCGAGGAGGTCTATATGGAGCAACCACCGAGGTTTGTTGCTCAAGGGGAGGATGGAAAGGTGTGTCGGCTACTGAAGGCTATTTATGGGCTTAAACAGTCTCCTCGAGCATGGTTTGGCAGATTTAGTGAGGTAGTAAAGAAGTTTTGTATGAAACAGTGCCAAGTTGACAATTCCGTCTTCAGTCATGACTCTTAGGCAGGGAAGATCCTATTAGTGGTGTATGTAGATGCTATTGTCATCTGCAGGAACATTTTCAGACAAAGGACCTTGGTAAATTGAAGTATTTCTTGGGGATAGAAGTAGCAAGGTCCAAGCATGGTATTAACTTGTGCCAGAGGAAATATGCTCTTGATTTGCTTGAAGAAACAAGTTTGTTAGGTGCTAAACCAGTTGAAACTCCTATGGAAACAAACACTAAGTTGAGCAGTGATATGGGTGAAGTGGTTGAAGACCCTGGCAGATACCGGCGGCTGGTAGGTAAACTGAACTACCTAACCATCACTCGGCCAGACATTTCATTCGCAGTTAGTGTGGTAAGTCAGTTCATGCAGAAACCTCTGGTTCCACATTGGGATGCGGTTATAAGGATTGTGAGGTATTTAAAGGGGGCTCCTGGTTGCGGTTTGATATATAGAAGTGGTGGAAAACTTGAAATAGAAGGATATATTGATGCTGATTGGGCCAGTTCTGTATTTGATAGGAGATCTACCACAGGCTATTGCACTTTTCTTGGGGGTAATCTGGTGACATGGAAAAGCAAGAAGCAGACAGTTGTGGCAAGAAGCAGTGTAGGGGAAGAATATAGAGCTATGGCACATACTACTTGTGAATTAGTGTGGCTAAGGAACCTTCTACAGGAGATGGGATACACTATTGATACTCCAATGAAGATCTACTGTGACAATCAGGCTGCAGTTCACATTTCCTCTAATTCGATGTTTCATGAGAGAACCAAACACATAGAGGTTGACTTTCACTTTGTTAGAGAGAAGGTGATGAGTGGAGTGATAGACATTGCATATGTCAACACAGGGAACCAGTGGGCAGATTTGTTTACTAAAGGGTTAAGTCGGGGGAGAGTGGACTACATATGTAACAAGCTGGGATTATATGATATATACTCTCCAGCTTGAGGGGGAGTGTTAGTGTCGAGTATGTAGGGGTAATTCTGTCTTTGTGCTTTTGTTTAGGTGTTGATGTGTAAGTTTATGTTAGATTTAATGTCCCTAACTTAAGTAGGGGTATAT